GGACGAATAATGGCAGGGAACGCCACAATGACAGTGGGGAGAGAGAAGATGGAGCGGTGGGGGGGAGAATGACAGTGGGGACAGAGCACCACCATGACAATGGGGACAGAGCGGCCAGCAGCGCTGGACATGCCCCCCACCCCGACCCTGCTCCTTGGAGGCAACGGCGGCACGGGATGATGGCAGAGGGGGATAGAGGGGACAGCGGGGATGAACTGGTATTGCAGAGTGCCACCATAATGGCTGGGATGGAGGGAACAGAGTTGGGAAGTGAAGCCAGCGGTGCTGGCCTTGCCATCCCCTCCCCTGGCAGCACAGTGCTGGCCTCGCCCCCCCACTCTGTCCCCTCCATCATGGCGGTGCTCTATCCCCACCATCATTTTTGATGGGCAATTCACTAGTTAAGGTATAAAATTCAAATAATATGATTTGATGGGGTTTTTATATCTGAATATTCTTCCTGCATTTGATAGCAACATTATCATTCACACATAGAGGCCCCATCTACACATGCAGGTAAAGGCTTGATGCGATCTAATGTGTAATTCACACAATCATGCCTCTTGCCACGCTACATGATCATGCATTAGATCCCATCATGCCTTATTGTTGGTGCAAGGGGAGGACAATCCCAGATTCCTACTGCTCCAGCAAGAAGCTCCCACAGCTGGGAGCTCCCCTCAGTTGAGGGGCTCCCAGCCACACAGGTGCCCCATGCACCCTTGGGACCAGAGGATTATTGCAGGGGTACCCCACACCCCTGGGGCATGGGGAGCACTCCTGCAGTTATCCTCTGGCCCTGGAGTTTTTCTGCACCCCAGAGCACCAGGTATCACACCAGTCATGATCCCCAGGGTTTGGGTGTTTGTGTGAAACCCTTGGACCCTGGGGATTGTGCCTGCCATAAACCCTAGGGACTGGGGAGTTTACACTGGGCATGACGTACCCCTGGGGCTGGCAGCCCCATCAGCTGACCCTGCTACACATGCAAATTAAAGCTTAATATCAAGCAGCTATAAAGTTAGTACATATTTTTGAGGTTTAACTTGATAGCTGGTTTGAGTTTTTTATTGTGTGATAGCTACTTTACACATGTAGCTAGTTTCCGGGTAATTAAGCAATTGGCCAGTTAATTGCCCAGTACCCATAATGTTCATATATAGATAGAAACATGTTTCTTTTTGCTGTTCAAGCCTGAAGATCTGGGGCATACCAGCCCATTGATTTTTGAGGGGTAAAAAAAAAAAGAAGAGGAGTTAGTGTCTTCCCCTCCCCACCCTTACCTCCACAACAGCAAACCTCTGCCCACTGCACCTACACCACACGTTCTCACTTTTGGATTGCCCTCCCCACTGCCAGGGAAGGTGCTGGGGCCTAGGATAGGGGGAATCAGAATGAGGGATGGAGAGAACAAGGTGCTTCCCACCCTCTAGATCTTAGTTTTCATATCATCCCCTGATCCTGCCTTTTCTGGGATTAACCTTATTTTATGAGTTTTCAGAAATGCTTCGTGCCTGTGTTAACGTGATTTAAACCTAAACAAAGTCTCAGGCCAGTTTAAAATGAGTTTAATAAGACTTCATATCAATTTAACCTATAAAAAGGGTAAAAACAAAATACAAACAAATAGAAATAAATGTTTATGTCACTGAAAGTTAACTGTAGAGCTGTCACCAGTAGAGTGGGTTTTCTTTTTTTCTTTTTTTTTTTTTTGTGGGTGGGGGGCACTAAGAATTTCCATATTTGATTGATAAAGACAATAAGGATAACTAGATCACTATGATATACAGCATCTTCTGGTCTGGAAACAATTACAAGCTCTCTAACTGTCACTTTTAGAGCCTTCTGATGACATCTGAGCCTTGACTGATTTCTAATGTGTCATTCGCTCAACTCTAAAATTATTCTAATTCAAAAATGTTGTAGAGGATGCCACAACCACAGGAGAATTCAATATATGACTGACATTTCTCCCAGCAAGAAACAAACAAATACTGCATCATAATCCGCGATTTCTTTTAAAACCACCTCACTTCTGTAACCATAATTAGTCAGATTACAGCCGCTAGCAAAGTCAGAGGCAGTGTGATTTCTAATAAACCAGTCAAACTAATGCATATAAATGCCTTATTTCTAGCATAGTATATTTCACAGTTTATAGGAATGATCACATATTTTTAACTAAAAATTAATTTACTATACATTTACTATTAATGAAAAATAGGTTTTCATACATGGGAAGGAATGTAGGTTATGTTCCATTAAGCTGAAATGGAGTAAACCATTTTTTCTAATTAATAAGGATAATCTTAAATGAAAACCAAGAAATGTCACAGTTAACTAATGCTCTGAATCCAAAATTTCTTCTGTGTAGGGATTGGGTTGATAAGGGATCCTCAGTTTTTAGGGCCCTGAAAAACAAGTCCACCCCACATGTTTCTACCCATATATGAATATAAATCTATGAATGATAATGTTTCTACCAAATGCAAGCAAAATATTCAGGTATAAGAATCCAATCAAATAATTTGATTTGAATTGTATATCTTAATTTGTTTTTTCTGCATTTCTGAGTACTTATGAACTAGACCTTTTTCTGTAGGATTAGCATCCTTTCTATGTCTGTTTTAGGTCGATAAAATGCTGATCCAAAGTGAAAAATCAGTCCTACCAGATGGCTACATTCTATGAGCATGTTACATAGATAAAGGGTCTTCCACTCTTTATCAGGCACTGGGGGATGTTGGGAGTGTACCTGGGAAAAAAGGTACCCCTGTCATCCTAAATCCAACCTAGAATATTGCAAAGCTCCACAAGTTATGCACAGCAAGACTTGCTGTAGCTCTCTCCTTGTGCAAAATTTGGGACAGCAAGGTATTTCCAAGTTCTGGAGAAGAAGATGTAACACTGGAATTAAGTTTTACCTCCTAGGTAGTTATTCTATCCATCCTTCCAATCATGATTGCAGTACAAGACCTGACTTGGCATCTTAGGCTGCCTACACACACACACACAGAGGGAAAGGGGGGGCAGGGTTAATTAAGTGCGATTCCCAGAGAGCCGCTGTAATTAAAACATCTCACTGTCATCTGTATTAAGCCCCCCCTGACATTTCAAAATGGCTATACGGTGCTTTAACTCAAGCTTGTTCAACAAGCTTTAGTTTGAAGCGACCCCGTGGCTATTTTGGAATGCCGGGGGGCTTAACACACATGACGCTGAGGCAATGCTAGAGCATTCTAATTAGAATGAGGAGCAGACTCAATGAATTGAGCCCACTTATTCGCATTCTAATTAGAACACCAAAAAGGCATGTCTATAGGCAGCCTTAGACTACAAATAAATGTGGTCCTGCTATAGTGAAGCAGGATCGATTGATCTGCTTCACTGAGTAACACGGATGTTGCCTGTTGCCCCATAAGGTTGGGCCCATGCCACTCTGCTGCTTCAGAGGCCTGGTCCTTCAGGACAACTGCAAACAGTGGAACCCCAAGTTCCTCAGTTTACAGACATGTGCCCCGAGTTGGGGTATTTCAACACAATACATGCATACTGAGGATTCCCAGGGTGGGTTTCTGCAGACGAACCTAGAGCTGCCCCATTTGCAGAGACACTCCATAAGTCAGGGTGCTGAAGCATGAGTACGCCCCTTAACTTGTAGAAACATACCCTGGGAATCTCCTGTTGTGTAATACTTACTTGTTTGCTTGCACCGTGTGACCAGCTGTCATTTTGGGGAAGTACTAACTCACAAATAAGCAGCCGCAGCCATTGCGTATCCTGTCACGCTATTGCTGTAACTGTTGAGCACCACTTCAAACCCAGGGAGAGACCACCATATAAGGGAACGAACAGAATAGTAGAAGCCAATTGGCTCACGGGGATCCTGGCACTTGCGTCAGTCTTATAAAACAACCAGGAATCCGGAAAAAAACACTCCGGAGTCCGAGACTAAACGAGCAGGGTGGAATCTGGCCAATTCTACCCCAGTCTCGCGAACGCCCACCGATATCCAGAACCCAGGGCGACCCCTTCGTATCCCGAATGAGTGATCTCTCCCAGGGGAGCGAATAACTGCAGTACCTGTAACTGCTTTAAGAAAACGGAGTCTCACTACCAATGTGAGTACAAAAATTAAACTTTTCGTATTACGCTTTAAGTACCGAGGGATTCTGCCTCTGTGTTATTACCTCCTCGTTCTTGCCCAGAGCATTTAACTCGCACCGTGCGCAACATCTCCAAGTGGGGAAACTCAGACACCTGCCCTAGGATCTTCAGGGGGTCAATCCTGAATGCCCCAGGAATGCCCCAGCAGCCCCAGGATTGGGCCCCTGAAGCCTTGGGAATTCCTGCCTGGGTGGTTGGATAGCACAGGCAGCTCCAGATGGTCTGTGCTGTCCCACCACAATCCAACCAGACCCCCACCACACAGAAGGGGAGCAAACTTTTACCACCTATGTCACTGCCACAGTTTGGGACATTTGTTGCATGACAAGGGATATAGACATCTGTTTGGGCTTTGTGCCACCATAAAAATTTAAATAAATAAATAAATACATTTTAAATCAATAAATAAACAGGTGATGTCTGTTTGCAGCTTGATATTCCACCTGCTCCAACCATCTCTCACCAGGTGCAATAACCCCTAATCTCCTCTCTCACACTTACCTCAAGTAATACTAGGCCTCCATTCTCCCCACTGTGAATTACACAGTATATAAACTTTTATTTAGAAAAATAATTAATTTCAGACACTATTGCTCCCCAAACCAGTTTGTGTGTCAATGTGGTTGCCAGCTCCCTTATGCTATTAACAAAAATAGAGAAAGGAAATATATTGGTGGTAAGACCAAACCTAAATAAAGTATAATGATCACAGCAGATAAGTCAAGACAACTTCATTGGTTTTCTGATGATCAAAACTTACGGGCAAAGTTCCACTTCCAAATATTCTTTAGTCTTGCTATTGAGAAAAAAGGCTTCAACAACTATGAAGAAACAAAAAACAAACAAACAAACCAAAGTGAGCCTTAAGGAAGCCTGTATTTGGGTATAGAATCAAACTCTGGCTGAATCTGGAATATGCATAAACAAACAGGGTGTTAAGTATCATTTGGAAAGGCCTTCAAATGGAAATATGAAGGGGAATCCCTAACATGTTATACCAAGGCAAACACAACAAATGAGGCACAAGGGTGCTATCTGTGACAAAAACTTGGATAGTTTCCATCTTTACAAGTAATATGAATGCCCTGTACATTCTTTTCTAACCTGATCTGGCTTTGTAGAGCAAGGAAAGATCATTATAAAGGTGTGATATACTTGCACATTGACACACTGGTTGTTTTTCTCCGACAGGCCAAATTATAAAACCCACAGGTGAGAATTCTAGGCTTGCATACTATGCAGTTCAATACTGATCTATTTAGAAGTTGGCAGAATCAGTACTGAAAAAGGAAGGTCAACTAATCTGGTTTGGTTTGTTCTCTGGAAGACCTGCCATTATGGGAGATGCTTTAATGAACAATGACAGGCCCTCTAACAGGTTTGATTTAAATTTTCAATTAAAATTTTAATTGTTTTCATTTTATTCTAACCAGTTTCATTAAAAAAAATCTCTTTCTTATACTGAACATTTTATTTCATAAGTTGCAAACAATGTAAGGCCACACACAAAATCTTTTTTAAAATTGTTCTTCTTGAGGGAGCAATTCTGAAAAGAAAAGTCACAGGCACTGGTCAAACTCCACTCAGAAACCAAATTCTATTTGCTTGAAAAACCAAAATGAGAAGTGACTCATTAAAGTGTGCATAACTTCAAATTGTGATCATCCCTTATTTTTATTTTTCTTCTCTGCTTGGTTTGATCATCAGCAAACTAAAAATCTTGACATTTTATGCTGAGCCCCAAAAGTAAACACCACCAAGATAAACAGGAAGCACCTTTTATTTTTCTCTGAACTTTTGTTTCAACGGTTTGCAGCTCTGAGCAGACACTAGTGCAGATGCATTAGTCTTTTTTCATATTCCAGAAGTTACCTCTGTACCTGTGCATAAACATAATATCTGTTTACCTTCATAGTCCCAAAGTCCAATAAAAGGAAGTCCTGGCTCACCAGGTGGGGCTGGAGGATCATCAAAGTACAAGGAATTCACTTCCATTATCAGTCCTCCATCACCTGCCTTAAATGTGATGGTCACTGGCTCATGCATGACCTGGATGCTGTCCCAGGTATTTGTAATCCTGTATTCCAACTACAGAAAGAGAAGTAGTAATAATAATATAAAATGGATAAATGCAAGGTGCCATCCTTCCCCATCCTTGGGCAAACTATCTCCAGATACTTTTTACTTTCATTCAATTCATAATTTAATTAGTTTCTAGAATAATCAACTAAATAAATAAATACATAGATTTGCTATTCTAACAGAACAAATATGTTTACTAAAGCAATAATGCAAAATAAGTAAATGGTGCAACAGCAAACTTCTATAAAGTTTGTCCTTCATAGTCGTATAAGGTCACATGACAGTGGAGACCATGCAATTCTTCTGTACAGACAGAATCAGGTATATGACCAGTATCGGCACTCCTCTCCTTGAGAAGCCAGGTTATTGAAGAATCCACTGCTCCATGGGGTTTTTTCTTCCTTCCCTGTATGCACGTGGTAGGCCTGAGAGCGCAAATGTAGTGTCAAGGCTGGGGCCGTGACTGATGCATACTAATCTCATAATGTGCCTGTGCGTGTATGAGAGGAGTATCAGTAGCACTTGTTTAGTTCTCCAAATAAAGTATAAGATACTGTCCTTTCCAAGGTACCATAGTTAAATGTTGCTCTTGGTTCCCTTCTCCTAATTTATCAAACTTATTTTTTTTCTGGAGATACAAGAGAGAGATAGGAAATGCTGGCTTGTATGACTTAAATAGTACCACCTTGCATGGGACAGACTAGAATCAAAAGGTATAAGGAGGACGGAGAATCTGACTTTCTACTGCCTGCTAGCATGTAGTTTACTGGATGGCAAGTATTTTGGCAACCATGAAGGCTGATGTGGACTTTAATACGAGTCTTTGGACTGTAGGAAACAGATTATGTTTGCTTATTTGTATTCTCAAAAGTGCATTCTACCAATCATAGATTCATAGATGTTAGGGTCGGAAGGGACCTCAATAGATCATCGAGTCCGACCCCCTGCATAGGCAGGAAAGAG